TCTACTACTTTAACAGTAATTTCCTCCGGTGCAAATTGTGATACATCCAATGTCACTTGAAATTTGTCTTTATCAGCTTGAACAATTGATGCACCGCGACCATGTCTTTTGTTGAAAGCCTTCAAAAATGGATGATGATTATGACGATGATGTCTTCTGCCGCGTTTATGTGGTCGATATAGCAGAACTTCTGAACCAAGTGAATCTAGATCATTAAAATCATCTAGATCTATTGCTGTGCCAAAATGTTGATCCCAAAGACGATGAGGTCGGTCTAGATCTTCCCACCAGTCGGAAAACATCATTGGTATTAATGACATTGTGCAAGTATTTTCAATACCAATTCAAACTGTAGTTTATTTTGTTAGGAATGTTTCCCCACTTTCCGAATATAATTAATTTAAATATTTCACTAACAAATTATTAAAATGCTTTACCTTTGTAATTAATTTTATGAAACGCGTATGAATTACTGATTTATTTGCAGCTGATTAATCGTCGTACTGTTATATCGTTCATACGTCGACATCAACTGTCGGCAACTAGGTAGTTCTCTTTTATACATATTTGTTGCGCACTAAGGAAAATGGTGGGGATAGAACCACCGCGCGCATTCGAGAAGACCCTGGAAAATGTCGAGTTGCCCTTGAATACAATCGTCGTTTTCGTATCTTAGATCAGTTTTGTATAGCAACTTGCGCAATATAACGTAACTTAACCATAGCATGTACGTTTTATGTTTTACGCCACTGTCTATGAAAACTGTGTTACTATGTATACCTATTCTAATATAAGAACAAGTTCTTTAACGTAAACCACTTAAAAATGTTTTTAGATGTCAAATCGAATGTACGTTCTGATAGAAATAAATTATAATATTTTATAAAATCTTTTGATATGATTGTATATAATATAGGCATAATATTATATATTGCATAATATTTTGTTATGAATCGTGAATATGATATTTTCATATGTTGTATCATAAAAGTAACAATATATTTTTAATTTTCAGATAAATACTGTGATAAATTGTAATCAATAATCAATAATCAGTAAATCAATCTTTAAAATGATAAAAAAAAATAAAAAATTTAATTCCATTTATTAATAAAATTTTTATTAATAAAATTCTATAATTAAAATAAATATTATTATAAATTAATAAAAATATAATTCTTTAATTATATAAAATTTAATAATAAATTTAATAAATAAAAATTAATAACATTTTATAAAAGCGTATTGAGTATATACTGATTTCTTAAAATTTTTCATTTAAAAGTTATTAAATTTTGAATTTAATTATTATTTAATAAATTATTTTGATATTTGGATATTTCAAGAAAAGATAAAAATTAGAATAGAATTTATAACAAATACTTGAATGTATAAATACTTGGAAAATAAACTGTATATTTTTTTCTCTATCATTATATATAATTGTATATAATAACATAATATATTAAGATATTAGGTAACGTTTTTTCCTAAAAAGGAAAATTATATAATTCATATAGTACAATATATAAAAAAAATAAAAAAATTTAAAATATAATAGAGGATTATGTGAAAATTTGTTATAGTATAAATAAATAGTTTTTAAATTTATTTTAAATTATATAGAACATCATTTACATTTATAAATGTGAAGAAAAATTATAAAATTTTCATATTTATTCTTGAAATTAACAAAATAATAATTAAATTTTACTAATTTCGTGCATTATATTACTTTTTAGTTTGAAAAAATTATTGATATTTACGAAATAATTTTAATGATTAAACAATATATTAAAAATAAAACAATGTAATATTATTTATTTGATATAATTATTTGATTTAATTCCAATATACTTAACAATAGAGAAAGACAAAATAAAATACAATATTTTCTTGAAATATAATTTGTTGCAATAATTATATCATTATCTGTTATAATTAAATCTAATCTTATTGATTACATCTATTTACATGCAAATGCTTCATAAGAAGCATGAAAATATATATAATATTAATTAATATGAATATGTAATTTATTATTCAATAATTACATCTAAAATTATGTCTATTAGAGTTAATATTTTCTTAATGATAACATACATGTATAAGTATTTCTCAAATTTAATAATTTGAATTAATTATAATTTTCAAAAGTTAAAAAACAAACTTGCATTTATCAAATAAAAATAAAATCTATTTTCTTTACTTTCTTCATAATCGTTTAGATTTGCTTTACAATTACAATAAATTTCGATATATTATCCACCGCTTATAAAACTTTACACATACAGTACAACTTTCATACATATACATAGTACATAGATCAATATCATCATTTGCCATCACATCATCAAAGAGATAGAAATATATTAAAAGGATATAAATAAAATAAAATAAAAAGATATTCGAAAATACAAAATATTACAAAACGACGAATAGAAATAAATTTAATATACTTATTCATATATAAAAATAAAATTATTTAAAATAATAGATAATATCATATGTATTCAATGAATTTTGTACTTTTATACGTACAAGAATTTTCGCGCAACGAATAATAGCTATACACATCTAAATACGTTTAAGACGTATTTAATACGTAAATACGTTTAATTTTTTTCATATAACACTAAATAAATATTTCCGATAAGAGCTAAAAACAGTAAAGATGATAAAATTCACTGGATCATTCCGTATTGAGTATTTCAAGTTATTACTCGACGTCTTCCTCTTTCTCCTTTCTTTCTTCATTTTGCGCATCGCATGGTTTCCCGGTATGTTCAATGTTGATTACCCTTTCGCCTTCCGAAATGACTTTTTGCTTGCGTGGTACAATAATCGAAAGGACACCATCAGATGAAAGTTTCGAAGACGCTTGATCGATGTCGCATTGTTCAGGAATTATGTATTTCCTCGTGAATTGCCTAGAAATCCAACCATGCTCGTCCTCTTTCTCTTCGTGCTTTGCTTCGACAATCACGAAACGGTCGACAACTTTAACGTTGATTTCCTCAGGTGAGAATTGTTGGACATCCAGGTCCACACGGAATTGGTTTTTGTCAGCTGTCACCGTTGATGCACCACCTTCGCTTTTGCGTAACAATTCACCCCATGGTCTGTAGTAGTCCATGTGCAATTTTGGACTCGTTTTTTGTGGTAGGAAATCATACACGTGCATGATTTTCGAACCCATATTCTCCGGATTGATTCTAACTCTAAGATTCGGATTTACATTGGAATGAGCACGTTCCATATTCTCCCATAAATAAGGAAGAAACAAACTTTCCAGATTCATTTTAGATTTGCGAATTTTAAATTAATTCAAGCTATGTAGATTAGAACTTGATGTTGAAATTTGGCTCTCTGATTTAAAATAATCGATTAGTTTGTGATAGATTCACTGTTCCACACGGACTGCTGTATTTCCCGACATGACCGTAGCATATAAAGGAAGGCGCTTCAATCGAACGAATCAGTACCTAAAAATTTTGCAAGCAGGCGCAATGCGAAATTTTTAGAAAATAATAAAAATAAATAAATGATTAAATATATAACTTAAATATTATCATATTATTTTAACTATGTTTTAATTTAATTAACATTAAATATTTTATCAATAACATTTATGAAATTGTTATGATTTATAATTTATAAATGAAATTTAATAAATTAAAATGTTTAATCCAAAATATATTATTATAAAAGTTTCTAATAAATTCTTTGTAGTTTGTATTTAAAAGAAGAATGATTAGATTAATATTCAAATCTAGATAATATATTTTATATTTTGGTATAAATCTATCAATTAATAATAACTTTTATTTTTTATAATAATAAAATGTAATAATATGATTTTATTAAGAAAAAAAAGGTAACTACATTTATATATAAATAAAATTGTAAATTGTAATTGAAATTATACGAAACTTGCAATTCAAAGGATAATAATGATATTTTGAAATAAAACCCTAGAAATGTGGTTTATTAATAATCAATATACGTGATATATATATATATATATA